AGGAGTCTCTACTCTTTGGTATGGGGATACTGAGATCTTTTAGGAAACTGAGGTGTCTAAGTAACAAGTGCTAGTGGTCCACCAAGATCCACACAGTCTTTCATCACTGTAAACTCTTGTGCTTGGAGCTCACAGTAGAGTTTGTACAGAGAGAGCGTTTTGATCTTCTTATCTCCTTTGACGAACATCTTTGTTGTAGTCCACTGTTCTACCCAAGCCATTTAGAAATTGTAGGTTTGTGTCATGGATGCTTCTGACTTTACCAACGTTTGATGTAATGCCCGGGTTTCAGGGCTAAGCATATTTGTCAATGTAATAATCTAGGTCAACTCTTGTAACTCTTTTTGAAGTAATAAAGATAAAATATTTGAGTATTATATGAATTATGTGTATTTATGTGCTTATTATTTAATTTAAATGTATAATTAATAAATAATAAAAATAAGCATCAAAATTAAAGTATGGGATAAGCCCGATATCCTTATATAAAGTTGTAGTGGTCGAAACAAGGATTTCGGGGATATAGAGAATGCCAAAATCCGAGTTATAACGAAGAAGTTATGGCTCGCCGAAGTTTTACGGCAAAACCGACACGGCACCGGGAGACGTAAATAGTGAATTTACGATGAAGGGATTTTTAGCCTTAGTGATCTAAACCAAAGTTGTAGTATATGTTAAACCGAAAACATCCATAAAAAGAACGCCCAAATCTAACTTCGTATGAGGAATGTATGATTTTTCTAAGATTCGGCTTAGTAGTGCAAAGCCCGAAATTCGAATTTTAGTTCGAGCGGTTTTTGGCTTACGCAACCTAAATGAGAGTTGAAGATCTCATTAATAGGAAATCAACGGTAAAAAGACAGACGAAAACATAGTTCGTATGTAGAAGTTATGAATTTTACGCGGACGTTTAACAGTATAATCTCCTTGTACTGTTAAATTTAAGATCGGTCGAGAATTAGCCGACGTAGTCAAAATGAAAGTTGTAGATATTATTATTACCTACGCGTGGATATAAAAAACGTCAAAAACGGAGATCGTATGTGAAAGTTACGAATTTTAGAAGTCGGAAGTGTGCTGTGCGAAAATGGGTGATGTGGCACAATCTTGGCCATTACTTTCTCCCCAAGGCTTGCCACCAGATGGTAACATGTGGCACCACGTTCAGCCACATTTTACCCTATAAATACCACCTCTCTCAACCTCATTTTCTTCACATCTTTCCCATTCTTTCTTCTCTTTACTCTCTCTCTCTCTAGAACCTCTCTTTAGCCCCGAAACCCCCCGAAAAGTCTAGGGAGCCTCCCTAGCACGAGGTGGAAGGCCCGGAGTGCTTGACAGCTCCGAGAAGAAGAGCTTTTTGGCTCGAGAACGCTGCTCCAAGCAAAGCCTGGTGTCTATAAAACTCGTTGTAAGTGAGTTACGCCTACGCTATTTTTAATATAGCTTTTATATAATTATAATAACGTTATTAGGAACTTATAATAAATACTCGGGCTATTATTATGGGTTATATAAGAATTTTTTTAAAGCCTATATAATAGTAATAATAGCTAGACTATTAATTATTCTCGACGAATAATAGAATAAACTCTAGTGGTAATATTATTAGGTTTCGTCGAAAGAAATTATTTTTAAGAAGCGAAGCGCTGTCTGAGTTCGGAATCACCACCTTTTCAGGTGAGTGCATAGTTACTTTCAGCTTACACATAGATATAAAGTATTTTATATAAATTACATGCTATGTTTGTGAATATTATCTGAATACTTGCTATCTATGCTGGATGAACGTTTTTATACATGATTTCAATGAATTAAACTGTATATGTATTTTATATCTACAAAAATGTTGAGGTAAAACATGAGTAGATGTAATAGGTGATGTGTGATAAAATGATGAGAGGCCTCGATGTTGTTGTTGATCCAGTCATCTAGCGGAGTACAGATGACGACCATGGACTCTTCTAGACAGTCCAATGGAACACTAGCAGGCTCGCAACCTGTAGGTGTTTGTGAACGATGTGTTCACCATCCTCCTCATGGTTGCCTTTAGGGCATTTATTACTAAGGAACCCCTTAGCAGTGGTGTCCATCCCGATGATGATCCTTAGGCTAGGTCCCTTATGATAGGTGTTTAGGGACGTAAAGTGACGATAACGGGAACGGGTAATCGGGTTATTGTTGATTCATGAAATTAATAAACTTATTTATTGTGGGTTGAAAACCCTATGTGCTCACCAGGCTCCCAAGCCTGAGCCACTCAGTTTCTTGTATTACAGGTAGTGGCGCATTAGCATAGATATGATGTTTAGGATGAGAGATTACGGATATAGGCATGTAGATATAAAATAATGTAGTAAGGCTTATATTGTATTGTTTATACTTATGTACTGTATCGAACATGACATCCCAAGTCTTTTATCGAACATTAGTAAATATTATTTATTATAACATATTTGTATATTTTTAATTATTTTAAACATAATAAACTACTTGTTCAAATACGCTCCAATTACGTTCACACCCTGATGAGCTACATTGTAAGACTTAACACCTTAATAGCAAACTTCTTAAGTGTCGGTGTGGACGATCCATGTTGCATCCACCACTCCGCTGGTGAAAACATTGATCTCATTCTTTTAGCCATCGGAATCCCAAAAATCCCTTGTGCACCTGTATATATAGGTAACTCGGTGTGAATCTTCAACTCATCCTCTTCCGACAGTGATAATTTATATATGCATGCAATCAATCCCGTAATTACCTCACTATCATCTTCCGCGCTCCGGTTGTTGTAATATAATCCCCGATTCAAATAGTGGGCAACCGCGTGCAAATCTTGGTGTAGTTGACAATTCCACCTCTTATCGATTATTTCAAAATTTTGTTTATACTTGTCTTCTTTGTTGTTGAAAGACGAGGCAATTTTTTCCTTTGCTTTATCCATGGCTTTATAGATGTACACCATAGGAGGCTTTTTTTCACTATCTACCTATCAAAGCACCGTTAATAAAGGGTCACCAACTTTGACCGCAATATCTATATTGGTCCAAAAACCAAGAGAGAATATAGTGTTAGCCGTTTGACTTCCTCATTCTCACGCCTCGCCCGGGAACTTGCTTTTGTTCCACGCTTCAGATGCGAACATCTTCTTTAAATTTTTCTTATGATTTCTAAAGCAATTCAAAGTTATGAAGGCAGTCGCAAACCGGGTCTTTGCGGGTCTAACCATATCTCTTTGGCTTGTGAAATCTCTCATCATATTCAAGAGTAAGGTGCGGTTGTAGATGTAACTATTGACCGCAATTGCTCTATCAAGTGTCTTTTTAAGATGAGGTAATTTAAATATGTCCTCACGCATCAAATCAATGCAATGCGCCGCACACGGAGTCCAATAAATATGTGGATATTTTTCTTCTACAAGTCGACCAGCTAAAACGTTGTTGCAAACACTATCTGTTACAATCTAAACCACATTTTCCGGGTCGGTTTTTTTATGAAGTCGTCAAACAATTTAAACATATATTCACCTGCAAAAAACAGGAAAATTTTGTTCAAATTTTCTAATAATTTGACATAGGATGTAGTTGCGGAGGCTATGGGGGTGGATGAGGAGTCTGATGCTACAAGAAGAACGAGTAGGAGGAAAGAGGGCGCCAAGTCGAGCTCGCGATCTAGAGGACCATAATTGATAGACGAAGATGAAGAGGAAAATGATGTTGGGGCTTATAAAAAGGTTGTAGAAGAAGTAGATGATGAGCCCGTATACGAGGAGTTGGATGATTTGTGAATCGTATTTTAAAGTCTAAGATTAATACTTGTTCTTTTTTTTTTTTTTTTTGTAATATGCATGTTTAGAACTTAGTTGAACTAATAGTCTTTGGGGTTTTTAGCTTATTTATTATTTATAATTGCTAATTAGATGAAGGTTAAAGTAATATTAATTTTTAATAGGTATTTTCTAAAAATGAAATAGTCGTCGCTATTTCATCGCTTTCGCTATATAGCATGGCGATAGGTTGTCGCTATGCCCTCGCTATAACCATCGATAACAATGGACTCTGAATGCATAAAAAATAGCTTGCTCCTCCTCCCATAGATCAAGTGCAAAGCTCCTCCTTTTCATCTTTACTTTGAATAAATCATTGTTATTTGAAGTTTTGATTAAACAATGATCTAATTCAAAGTGAAATTTGAAACTGTTATCAATCAACTACCCAACACTCAACAAATTTTGATCTAGATCCGGTACAAATAACACATCTTGAATAAGTTTTGTACCTGAAATGCTTTCGATTGCCACAGTGCCTTCCCTTAGCAATAATGTATTTTCCGTCACTAACCTTTACTTTGGAAACTACTGAAGTATCTAATTCCTTCAACAAATATTCACCACGTTTTCCAGGCCGGTTTTCTTGTGTTTTTTGCAGGTGAATATTTGTTCAAATTGTTTGACCAATTCATTAAAAAAACCGGTCCGGAAAATGTGGTTCAGATTGTAGATTGTTACAGATAGTGCTAGCAACAACGTTTTAGCCGATCGACTTGTGGAAGAAAAATATCCACATATTTATTGGACTCTGTGTGTGGCGCATTGCATCGATTTGATGCGTGATGACATATTTAAACTACCTCATCTTAAAAAGACACTTGATAGAGTAATTGCGGTCAAAAGTTACATCTACAACCGCACCTTGCTCTTGAATATGATGAGAGATTTCACGGGCCAAAGAGATATGGTTAGACCCGCAAAGACCCGGTTTGCGACTGCCTTCATAACTTTGAATTGCTTTAGAAATCATAAGAAAAATTTGAAGAAGATGTTCGCATCTGAAGCGTGGAACAAAAGCAAGTTCCCGGGCGAGGCATGAGAATGAGGAAGTCAAACGGCTAACACTATATTCTCTCTTGGTTTTTGGACCAATATAGATATTGCAGTCAAAGTTGGTGACCCTTTATTAACGGTGCTTCGATTGGTAGATAGTGAAAAAAAGCCTCCTATGGGGTACAACTATGAAGTCATGGATAGAGCAAAGGAAAGAATTGCCTCGTCTTTCAACAACAAAGAAGACAAGTATAAACAAAATTTTGAAATAATCGATAAGAGGTTGAATTGTCAACTACACCAAGATTTGCACGCAGCTGCCCACTATTTGAATCTGGGATTATATTACAACAACCGGAGCGCGGAAGATGATAGTGAGGTAATTACGGGATTAATTGCATGCATATATAAATTGTCATTGTCGAAAGAGGATGAGTTGAAGATTCACACTGAGTTACCTATATATAAAGGTGCACAAGGGATTTTTGGGATTCCGATGGCTAAAAGAATGAGATCAATGCTTTCACCAGCGGAGTGGTGGATGCAATATGGATCGTCCACACCGACACTTAAGAAGTTTGCTATTAAGGTGTTAAAGTCTTACATGTAGCTCATCAGGGTGTGAACGTAATTGGAGCGTATTTGAACAAGTAAGTAGTTTATTATGTTTAAAATAATTAGAAATATACAAATATGTTATAATAAATAATATTTACTGATGTTTATTTTTTATTTTTATAGCTCCATTCAAAAAAAAGAAACCAACTTGAATGGAAAAAGCTAAATGATTTAGTTTACATAAAATACAATCGGGCTTTAAGGAGGTATGATATGCGAGATACGATTGACCCGATCATTTTGGACGACTCGAATGTTCAAGATCCGAATGATTGGTTGGAGGGGGAAGAAGATGCTCTTGTATTTGAGGGTGATAACTTGACATGGGATGTAATTGCGGAGGCTATGAGGGTGGATGAGGAGCCTTATGCTACAAGAAGAACGAGTAGGAGGAAAGAGGGCGTCGAGTCGAGCTCGCGATCTAGAAGATCACAATTGATAGACAAAGATGAAGAGGAAAATGATGTTGGGCTTATAAAGAGGTTGTAGAAGAAGAAGTAGATGATGAGCCCGTATACGAGGAGTTGGATGATTTGTGAATCGTATTTTAAAGTCTAAGATTAATACTTCTTTTTTTTTTTTTTTTTTGTAATATGCATGTTTTAGAACTTAGTTGAACTAATAGTCTTTGGGGTTTTTAGCTTATTTATTAGTTATAATTGCTAATTAGATGAAGGTTAAAGTAATATTAATTTTTAATAGGTATTTTCTAAAAATGAAATAGTCGTCGCTATTTCATCGCTATCGCTATATAGCATGGCGATAGGTTGTCGCTATGCCTTCGCTTTCGCCATCGATATAACACTGGACTCCGAATGCATAAAAAACAGCTTGCTCCTCATCCAATGGATCAAGTGCAAAGCTCCTCCTTTTCATCTTTACTTTGAATAAATCATTGTTATTTGAAGTTTTGATTAAACAATGATCTAATTCAAAGTGTACTTTGAAACCGTTTTCAATCAACTACCCAACACTCAACAAATTTTGATCTAGATCGGGTACAAATAACACATCTTGAATAAGTTTTGTACCTGAAATGCTTTCGATTGCCACAGTGCCTTAGCAATAATGTACTTTCCATCACCAACTTTTACTTTGGAAACTACTGAAGTATCCAATTCCTTGAAGAGTTCTTGGTCATCATATGTGCAACTACTATCAATGACCCATCCCTCACTTGAATGACTACTTGGAAAGCAAGATGCTACAAAGAATTGCTCCTCCTCTTCTCCATTAGCAACTTGAGCAACATTCTTTTGCTGAAAATTTTCTTGTATGACTGTGTTTTGCTGGATGTTCTTTTGCAAATCCTTTGATGATGTCCCATTTTTGACATTTTTCACATTGTTAGTTTGGGTTCCTCCAACATTTGGAAGGTCCATGCTCGTTCAAAAAAAAAAAAAACATTTGGAAGGTCCATGACCCTTTCTTCCACAATGTTTACAAGGAGAGCAGTCAGATTTTGATCCCTTATTGGTGTTAAGAGAATCAGAGCCTGAACATCCCTTCTTGTTCTTCTCATATTTTTTCCTTTTCCTCCTTGACTGGACTGAGCTTTCACAATTAATGCACCTTCAACAGATCCTTCAGACCTCATGAATATTCTATGTTCCTATGCTTGCAAAGCATTTATCAATTCTACCAAACTAAGTTTTGACAGATCTTTTTTATTTTCCAATAAGGAAATAGTTGCTTCAAATCTGTCAAGAACAGTTACAAGAATTTTTTGAATAATTCTGGAATCGGGAAATTCAGAAGTAGTCTTACTTTATTAGCAAGGTTGAGTAATTTGTTTGAATACTCTTTGATTGTCTCTGAATCCTTCATCCTTTGAAGTTCAAATTATCGTATGAGGTTGAGAATACGCATTCCTTTTATCCTTTGATCTCCTTCATACTCTTCAAGAAATTCCAAACCCTAAATGTCGATTGTAGTGTCATAATCCTGAGGAAAATTTCTCGTGAGACAGTTGCAAATGACGTAGCTCTTTCCTTTGACTTTCTTGGTTTCTTCTCCTTATGAGCCTTTATCTACGCCATGGTTGGATTTGCAGGCAATGGGGGATCTTTGTAGTCCTCTTCAACAGCTTCCCAGAGATCATTTGCCTCCGGATGAGCCTCCATCCTTGCTGCCGAGACATGATAACCTTCACCTTTGAAAGCTTGTGGAGCAAATAAAGTGAAAGGTACTTCTGAATCCATGGGAAAATATCACAGATCCCTTAGGAAGAAAGCTCTGATACCAATTTTATTGGGGAGTTTTGAAGAAAATGGAAGTACGAGAGAAAGAATAATAAAAAATTGTTGTGTAGTTTACATTTTATTGAGCCAGAAGAGACTTTAAATATAGCTAAAAAAAACTAACAGATAATACGTGAAAAAAGGGATTACATGGAATATTTCCATGACCAAATAAACTTCCTAAAAATAAGCAACTACTGACCAACTTATTTGAAGCAGTCAAACAACTAATAAGAAAAATTAAAATAAATTCTAAAATGCTGGAAATTAAACACAGCAACGGAAGCACAAACTTCAACACATTGATCTACCAAATCACTTGAATTACATGTTGATTGAAAAATTCTAATAAATACGTAAGGTCTTATTAGTTTCATAACCATCAAATCCAAATAGCATATAGTATGATCCGTATAGACAACACCCATATAAAAAATCGTCCAGAGGAGAAGCTAATTGCTTAAAGAGCTAACATGTCATATGGCAGTTATTGTGGCTATTTTGTTAGATATTGAAGGCACCTAGCTAGATACAGTTAAGTAATGCGAAAAAGAACAAGTCATCCATAACTATTCTTTCTACCTCTTTGAGCTCCGTATTATTAATAAGAAATCTCCTTAAACATCTTATTCGTTCATTAAACAATAGTGTAAACTCCTCCGACTACACAATTTATTTAACATAACTCGTAAGTGCAGAAAAATTGACATTATTGTTTAGCAAAGGAATAGAATACTTAAGAAGATTTCTCATTAATAATACGAAGCCGAAAGATGTAGAAGGAATAGTTATGAATGAACCGATTCTTGCTTGCATCACCTAGATGTCTTCATCAACCAACAAATGGCCACAATAACTACCACATGATAGGATGACTTTTTAAGTAATTAGTTTCTGCTCAGAACGATCTCTTATGGTGGTAGTTTTTACAGATCATATTGTTATTCTATTTGGATTTGATGGTTAAAGGGACTCTAACTAGGTATGGCCCTACATATTTATTATAAGTTCTCAATCTTTTTTCAATCAAATAGTGATTCAAATGAGATGGTAAATCAATGTATTCTTTTGTTTTGTAAGTAAGCGATTGACATTGTATACCTAAATCCAATATTAAAGAAAAACATATGGGATCAAAGATTAGTGGATTTTGAAATGATTGCATGGAATTCACCTGTCTTTTATACACGATGTTTCATGATAGATTTATGGTGCTCGCCCTTCATTAAGTAGGAGATTTAACTACACTTTCTCCACTCGCACATTTAAGTATCACGACTTTATTCCTTATTGGTTGTTGATATTTTGTTTCAACACTTAATACTTAATTGCATCCACGTGTATTCTGTTTTGATGATCGCTCCAATTTCACAATTATTCACATGTTTTATAATGTTGCGAAACATCGTGCCAAAATGCATATATGGTTGTTAATACTTACAACTCTTGAGTCGATCCTATATAGGTATGTTTTTCAAAAGAGTAGTGATTTGTACACAATACTTTTTAGCCATAAACAACAATTTATGATTTATATGATTCTGTTGTATAACTGTATAAAACATAATTTGTTGTATACGGCTAAAAAGTATTGTGTACGGATCACCGCCCCTTTTCGAAATGCCTCGTTATTTTTTGTTTCCCTTTTTTTGTCGTGTGATCACTTGGTATAATAGTTCACTTTTCAAATGTTTGTAGGATCAAATTTGTGCAACATATAGAAAAGCAAACAAAACGCACTCATGCCTCGTAGCAAGGATATTCATGGAAAAAAAATGTTTTGATGTTTTGCAAGTTCTCCTTATGGTGGCTTTTCCGACTAAAATTAATAATATTAATAATTACAACAATTATAGTATGTTAATATCACATCTATTATATATAAACACCTCATATGTATGTTTATTTCCATGAAGAGTAGAAATTAAATTGTACCAAGGGCGTGTTCGGCACGGAGCGTTTGCGAGCTTCTAGCTTCTAGCGTTTGACAAAACGCTTCATTTTGAACAGAAAACCTTGTTTGGCACTACAAGCTTCTAGAGTTTAGTTTAAACAAAACGCTCCAAATCCAAATGCTACTTCATGTAGCGTTTAATAAAACGCTACAAGCTACAAGCTGCCCTAAGTCGTATTAAAGATACATCATGTACATAGATCTTCAAAGCTTAATGCCAACAATGGCAATTAAAATTATTTATAAGTAGTTCGTAATCCACAACCATTTCAAATACTTAGTTGTTGACATCTTAAAGGTTATGTTCTGTTCTTCTCATTAACTATTGTGTGAATATAGTGTTAGAATCGACAAATATTGTGTATTTGTAGTCAAGTGTTGTATAAAAATAATAATAATAATATATATGCTTCATGGATTGAATACACGACATGAGTGAAAAAAAAATGATTATTTTACCACTATTATAGGACTTTCGTTTTTGTAAAGCGCAATCAACAAAATGATGTGATTTCAAAAGTAATCCATTAAATTTACAGGTGTTGCGCTCCCTTCTTGAGGTTGATGGTTCAAGTCTCTTGACATAAGTGGACTGGTTTGGTATATTAATTATATAATGCATAAAGAGCCCCTCTTATCAATTAACCTATTTCAACAGTACACTAGTTTGTTTTCCCAAATGTTTGATAATATTGCGTGTTTTATGTGGTCACGTGGTATAATAATTCAAATTTCAATTGATGTAAGAAAAAATGCAAGTTGCACACCGCGGGGGCTTTTGTGGCAATAGAAAGGACTTATGATCCTATGGCGGTTAAGGGTGGTCAAACTAGGAAGAATTACAAAAAGGATCTCCAAATCTACATGTAGGGTAAAGAATTACAAAAAGGATCTCCAAATCTACATGTAGGGTAAAGTTGCAACAGCTTTTAAGGCGAAACGTCTAATATTTTATTTGATACAATTGTTTTTGTATGCTCAATTCAACTATTAGATACATATGTGGCACTTATCGGTAGTATCTTCCAAATATTAGAAATCCCAACAAGTAATAGTTGATACATAGATGATACGTCCTATAAATAGATCTTTATTGATCAATACTAACAATAAAGGGCGGTAGACTTACATATAAGTAGTTCTAAATTCATAAGTATTTTACATACTTCAACTCTAAACATCAAAAGTTAACCTCCTAAGCATCTAGAGAAACAAAATCAAATTGATGATGTCTCATGAAAACCTATATCAAGTTTATATAATCATGTATGTCGCCCGGTTATTATGTTGGCAAATAATATAACATTGTACACAAATCAGGACCTAGATAACACACATCAAGTTATCACTTTATATCTTTAGGCTTCTGTGTACAACATACCCAAATACATGTAATGCATGAATTCCAAATACATGTAATGCATGAATTTGTCATTC